AAACTATCCTAGGAATTGTACATAAGACAAAGAAAGTTTCTCCCCAGATGACGTTTACATTATGACACGTTGTATGTGTGTTACGATTTTAAAATATATATTCAGTTTTTGTTCCTGGTTCCTGGCATGAAGTTTCTAAAACCCTTGGAATTTCCTGAGTGATAGAAGTGTACTTTGTTATTCATAATTATCCCCTTTTGACCATAACTGAATTTATACCAAGGAGGTGACTCATGGAGAGGAGTCCAGATAGCTTCAGGATGGAGGCTGGTCACCAGAAAAACCAACCACATGATTAGAAAGTTAGAACTTTCAGCCCCCGCCTAAGAGGTAGAACTGGAGGTGGGGTTCTGAAGATTGAGTTCGATTATCAATGGCCAATGATTTAATCAATAATGCCTATATAATTAAGCTTAATAAAAATTCTGAAATGCAGCTAAGGGAGCTTCTAGGTCAGCAAACACATCAAGATGCTGGCATGTCCTATGCATCTCTTCCATTTGGCTGTTCCTGAGTCATACCCTTTATAATAAGCCAGTAATTATTAAGTAAAGCACTTTCCTGAGTTCTGTGAATCATTCTAGTGAATTATTGAACTTGAGGAGCAGCTCATGGGGACTCCTAAATCTGTAGTTGGCCAGGCAGAAATGTGGGTAGCCTGGGCACCTCATTTTTAGCTTTTATCTGAAATAGGAGCAGTCTCATTGGACTGAGCCTTTAACTTGTGAGGTCTGCACTTACCCCAGGTAGTTAGTATCAAAAATAAATTAAATCATTAGATACCCTGTTGGTATCAGAGAATTCGAGAATTGGTTAGTGTTTCATAAAAACCATAGTGTATATTTATAATGGGAGGTGTTAACAAGATATAATAGACAAGGAAATGGACAAACTGATGAGAGAGATAGGACTCAATCATTTCAGATAATGGTAAGTGATTTGAAGAAAAGGATAGAGTGGTGGAGGGGAGGAAAATCATTTTCCCTCTACCCTTCTCAATTCTTATTTGACACCCCTGTAATAAAAGACAGATTGACAAAACAAAAACAAAATATACATGAGAGATACCCAGTGAAAATTAGTAACTCTCTGAGGTGGCTTAGGATTCAGACTTAAAAAACATCTTCATTGGGAAAGGGGGAGGTGCGGTGTAACCCTTTTAGAGGACAGGAAACAATTTTTAGGAAAGATGAATGGGCCCTTAGAATGCATGAGAGGTATGATAGTCTCTGACAAAGTTTGTCTGGGTGTGGTCAACATCTAATCTCTTCTGAGATAAGTCAACCTTTCCTGGTTGATGAAACTCCTTGAGAGGGGATTTGAAACAATTGAGTTCTTTTGGAAGAGCTGTCTGTTGGCAGGTAAGGGACGTTCAGAGAAAGCCTGTGCCTTCATTGACTACATTACAAGTGCCTATAGTTCAACATAATCAATATACCAAAAGTGGCGTGTTTGAAAGTAGCATATTCTGCTGTTGTTCACTAGTGTGAAGAATAACAGGTGGTGGCCACATTTGATAAGGTAGTTGGGGGCAATCTCTCAGATGAAATACAGCACTAGGTGCAGCAAGTAGATGACTCTCGCTGAAACCCTACACATTAAGCAGTATTTTCTTCATTTTATAAAAAGAGATACTGCTGCAGAATGAGATTAAATCATTTGCCATGACCACCCAGCTAAAAAATGGCAGAGCTAGAATTCTTATCTCATCTGTCTCATCACCCCAACATTCCTTACCTATTTGAATCTAGTGCTTGCTGCCCAGAAGGATATTCCATAGGGACGAAAATGGTCGACATCTGTGCTGCCTGATAGTCCATATGTGACAACTGAGCATTTGAAATGTGGCTAGTATAAGGAACTGAATTTTTTATTCCATTTAATTTTAATCATTTAAATGTAAACAGCCACATGTACCTAAGGATTTCTATCTTAGACAGTGAAGGTCTAGGATTTCTCCATTGTATGATGGCTGGAATCACTTAGGTCTATTTTGCTGATATTCCGGCACTTTTTGACTCTACCTTCCTTCTGAGAAAGATGGTGTCAGCTGGTAGCAAACACACCTGCTAAAGATTAGCTACATTAAACCCCCCACAGGCTTGTGTCATTCTAATTAGTCACTGTGTCTCAAAAAACAGGATATTAATTCTCTGTCTTTATTTCATTTTATATTTTATATACATGTTTTTTAATGTTGAAAAAAATCAATGTTTCAGGCACACCCAAATGCCAGAAGCCTATTAAACCAAAGGTGCCAGGGAGAAAATCTGATTGAAACCACATGGAACTTTCATAGAATAAATCTTAGAGAAAAGAAAGGCAGTGTGACAGAAAAGCCTCTGCCTTATCAGATGGTGGCCATTGCAGCAACTCACGCTGTCAAGTAAACTTCACAGATAGCTTGACTTACTCTTTAGCACGGAAACCTAAAACAGGAAAAGCAGCACTACAATGAAAAAGAACAACATCATAGTCTAAAACCAAGCTCTGGAACCTTTTCCATTCTGATGGACTGATGTGGGTCAAGCTATGGGGACACTGCAAACCTAGCTCCAGAAGTGGCTAAAAAGACATGCTGCAGGGTCATACAGATCTGAGTTTCAGATCCAGCATATTTTCCTCACCCCCATTTCCTCTTTAAATTTTATGCTTCTGGGAGATTGCCAGATTTTGTCCCTTTAGCACTAACCCTTCAATATCAGTTTGATAATCACTTACCCTGGATGATTCCAAAAAAGTGAAGGAAGGTCCTTACCCTTGAAAAGCTCTCAATCTGGTGGTATGCAGCTAACATGCAGGAAACAAGCTGAGATTAAATGCTTATAGACAGCATGGATTTGCCAATAAGTGCGGCATTTAAAGAAAAAAAATCAGTGAAAGGGATAATTTAAGACAATAAACATCTTATAGATATGTTTGTTTCTCTTTTTTACCTTGGCTGCAGAAAGCTCAGAACCAGATCTATAGTTCAATTATTTCAATTATAATATCCCATGAAGTATGCATGTTTGTGGTACTGCCATGTCCTTGGCACTGAGGTTTGAGGGGTGGTTAATTTTCAATTTCTATTTTATATTTTTGCTATTATTTGTTCTCTAAGTAAGTAACACTTTAACAAAGCTATCTGAGTTAAAAATAAATAATAATATAGACAAACCATCAGGTATTACCCATCTTTCAATTTATATATTTAAATATATATATTTTCATGAGAATACTCATGAAAGTTATGAAGCAATTTATAAAAGCACACACACTCCAAAATTCGGCAATTAGCCAAAAACACAGAATAAGAATTAAGGAAGCAATGGTAACAGAGATTTCCAAGTGTTTGAGATTAACTGCATACTATAATTGACCTTAATATTTTCTCTAGATTTGATAGCAGCTCATATTTGAGAAAAGAGAAAAAAGAAGAAATGCATCCCTTTTCATTGCCTGACATAGACCATATATGCCAACATGCCCAACCCATACCATTTGATCTCAGTGAGAAATCTTTGCATGCATACTGAGTACCCACAACAGGCTGAAGAAGAAGCAACACAACTCAGTACACCAGGAATTCACAATGAAGCAGAAAATTGGGCTACCTAAATAAGCAATGATACAGTTTTTGGTTCAGCAGGTACGATTCTTCTGAGAGGCAACACACAATTACAGAGAAACTTCCATGACTCCAGCATCCTACTTTACCTGTTTAGTGTAATGTAACCTTAGCAACCAAATGAGGGGATTATTTTTCTTCTCTGTTTTCTAGAGTGTCTCTGGAAGTTTCCACCCAAAGAACTGCCATGTGACTGGGGCCCAAGGGAATGAATAGAAGTTCTCAGTTGGGATATGGGAAAGATATTCCTGAGAGGGAAGTAGTGTGAGCAATGAATCAGACACAGACGTTCATAAACCCCAGAATTCGCAACAAGGCATGTGGTACCCTGAAGCTTAAAAGTAGAGAATATGAAGGAAAGTGGTAGAAAAGGAGACTAAAAACAAAGAACATCGTAATGTGTTCTATTTCCTTATGCATGCATCGACCTCTTAGTTCAATGATGACATAATAGTTATTTAACACATTAAAAATCAACAGTCTTGGGGTGCATAGGTGGCACATTCAGTTAAGCACCCAGCTCTTGGTTTTGACTCAGGTTGTGATCTCCGGGTCATGAGATTGAACCTAAGTTGGGCTCCCTGCTCAATGCAGGGTCTGCTTAAGACTTTCTCTCTCCCTCTCTCTCTCTGCCCCTCCCCCTGCTCACACACACTCACTCTCCCTCTCTAATATAAATACATAAGTCTTTTTAAAAAATCAATATTCAAAATCCAGAAGCCATAGGAAAAAACTAAAATGTACTCATAATTCATTTTAACTAAAGTATCTGCCATATATGCATGCACATAAAAGAGATTAATATCCACAATTAAGTGTTTCTCATGCATATTTATAGGCAAACTATATAAAGACGTAATTCACAGATATACGGACTGCCAGCTAATATATTAAAAGATCAGCCTTATTGGTAATCATACAAATCTAAATTAAAACAACTAGAAACTATTTTTACCTAATAGATGGACAAAAAAAAAGATTGTTAATACATTGTAGGGGAGATGAAAATTTATCTCCACCCAACTTAAGTTTTCAACTGGGGCTCTTTAACAAGAAGACAAATTAACAAAGGAAAATCAGTTTATAAACGCATGCAGTGCACATCTCATGGGAAAAACTTAGAGGAACCCAAAGGGGCAGCCCAGGATTCCAGCTTCTATAGCATCTTCAACTAAAGACAATAATTCATAGAGAAATGACAGGCCCAAATTTTAGATTGCTGCAGGTGGTGAACCAAGAGAAGGTAAATACGTGGAGGAAACTAATGGAGTAAGGTTTGTTTGCAGATTCCACCAGTGCTGTTTCTGGACTGATAAGACTCTGTCTACAGTAAAATGAGAGTTTATATCCTGCCTCCAGGCAGACAATGGGAAGCTTTGCTCCTTCCTTTTTTTTTTTTTAATGCTTCACAAATTTGCATGTCATCCTTGTGCAGGGGCCATGCTGATCTCTATATCGTTCCAATTTTAGTTTATGCGCTGCCAAAGCAAGCAAGCACTGCTCCTTCTTAATTGCCTTCAGCTTGAACTAATTTTTATGTCAAAGAGGCATATTTTGGAGTGACATATTCTGGTTTTCTGTAATATTATTTCACAAATATTGTGACAAAATGGCCACTTTCTTTCACTGTAGGCGAAATATAAACTGGTTCAATATTCTAGAAGAGTGCTGGGTGTTATTCACCAGAATTTAACAAGTTGCATCCTGTTAGTTGAGCAATTCAACTTGAGGGAATCTGTAAAACCTATCCTACTAAAATACTTGCACTCAGGCACATTAATGGATGCCCACTGCAGTATTGTTTGCAACAGCAACAAGATGAGTACAATGAAAATGCCTATAAGTGATATTACCATCATGTTATAGCTACAATATGGAACACAATGCAGCCTTGAAAAGAAAGTGGCTTTTAAAATGAAGAGCATTTATTTATATGTATCACCCAATGTATATTTATATATATCTCCACAATTAGTGCTAAATGACATAAAGTAATGAATAGTATTTATAGTATGATCCCATTCATGGTTTTTGAAAAACTAAATATGTGTATATGAACTTATGTAGGCACAGAAATTAATGAAAAGAAGTATGGAAGGCTAGGGTATAAAAGGTGGAGTCACTGTCTCTGTGGAAGGAATATGAGTGGGGGAGCCCTGTGAAATGGAGAGTGAGGCAGAAAGAGGGGCAAGGAGGAAAGTAGAAAGAAGACTTTATTTTTATTCTAGATGCTTTGATAGTATTTTAATTTTTCCATAATAAAAATGCATCCATGGATCTTATATTATTTTTCAAAATAAAAATAAATTAAAACTAGTTATATCACAGCATGAACATGTCATCATCCTGGTCATTCTTGATTACCAAGGCAGCTACATTGCCCAGACTGGCCAGGCCTCATTCTGATTTAGCCACCTCAGAGAGGTAAGCTAAGCCCTTGTATATCCCTGAAGAATCATATATTCTCAGAATTGTAAGGCATTTTAAGTCATCTACTCAATGTCTTATTCAAGTGCTTGAGATCCCTATTGAACATCTCTGCATTGATCTCCCAGCTTTTGCTAGATTCCTCTTCTAGAGACAAGAACCATTGCTTCCCATGGTCTCCTATTCTATCTTCTAGCATCTCTACCAGAAAGACCTCCCTTGTGTTAAGTCAAAATAAGTCTCTATCCCTAAGCCTATGTACTTCTGTGAACACAGTTTACAGGTCTCTCTTCACTGAGGAGAAAAAAGGAGGTCCTACTATCCTCCCCAGGTAAATTAGAAGAGCTTTCTCTCCATTTAATGTTGGTCATACCACTAACTATGCTGTATTATAATAGTTTATATACAATCAGACTAAAAGACCTGAACATGAAGCACCTTATCCCTAGTACCTAGATCAGGGTCAAGCTCATGGGAAGTTTTCAGGAAACAGTTGACAGATATGAGGGAGAATGGATGGATGGATGGATGGATGGATGGATGGATGGATGGTTAGATGGGTAGATGGATGGATGGGTAGATGGGTGGACTTTTTAAGTTATTGCTTACTGAGCACTAACTTTAGGCTTGGAACTCACTGTATCTGCTAAACAAACTATAAAGTAGTTATCATTATAATTATCTCCATTTCACTACTCAGAAAACAGTCTCAAAGAGTTTTGTTCATTCTAAATAAGGCCCCATATTTAGCAAAGTTGGGGTCTGAAACTTGGATGGATGATTACAAAGTTTGTACTTTTAACGACTTCATCACAGTGCCATGAATTAATGAATGAATGAGAAAAAGATTGAACCAACCTACCAATTTCTTAAAGGATACCACAGTTTTGAAATTTTTCCATGTGTTTTGGAATTCTGTTAACAGCTTTCAAAAGAAAGTACAGCTTCAATTTGGCTAACACCAACTTACATTCAGTCAGTTCCAAAAAATTTTTTTTAATAAAAAGCAATCATCAACCAGCCACCACTCCCTATGTTTATAGCTGCGAAGTGGATAGGATTTATCTCTAGCCCCTGCTTTGAACTTTGAAAAAATCTGAAGTCTCCTCTGTGGGGATCTGACAGGTGCAGCAGTGGAATGTTAAAATTTACATGAACATCATTTAAACTTCATTTAAGCCCCTCCCTTACTTTGGAAAGCCTTATATCAAATTTTGTAACAAAAAGAGAACATGCAATTTAAATTAAAGAGTTAGGGGAGGTTTGAGTACTTTCCAGCCTGGGTTAGCAAACCCCAAAGGCTTCTAATTAGGTTTTCCTTCTGTTTCTTCTTAGTCTGGTCATCAAAACCATGTATGAGAATAAAGCAAATCAGATACATTGCCTACTCTTCATTCAAGATATAAATCCATTATAGACAAAACATATCTTAAAGGATATTTTGCAAATACCTCCCAAATCTGCTGGATGGCCTAATGGTCTTTATTCTGGTCTAACCCATCCTTATAACCAAGCATAGTAATTCTAAGGACAAAAATGCAAGATAATTTTAATATTACACAGATCCTACCTTGAGAAGTGCTTTTTTTAGTTTCTAATAGTGACTGTTCAAAGTACATTTCTTGTGTTCCTGAAGTATAAAAAGAGGAGAAATGATTCGCCAATCTCAGGCTGTGTTCTATTTTATAGCAACACCAAAAGATGGGGCAAGCAAGAAAGTTGTAGTTTGTAAAGTCACCTCAAAGACCTATAATTACTCTCTTAAAAATTCATCATTGGTATTGTTTGTTTGCCCGTATTTATATGGCATAGCCACAGCTGACTTTCTCTGGAATGTCCAAGGGTCTGACTTGCCTAGTGAAAAATACACAGATGGGCTTTGGTGCTTCTGGTTCTAGGCAACATAAGAGAGCTCCAATTATTCCTTATCTATGAAATGGAGCTTCAATGATACTCAAATTTGAATAAAGAAATAACTACCCTAAGATCCTCCTTCACTGTGGGTTTCCATGGCTTGTATCTTGGTGGGAGCCACAGGCCCTGTATCATCTTCTCTATGGTTCCTCTACTTCTCCAACACTTGTTCACTATCAACCATACTAGTGAGGCTGAAACAGTTATACTGAAAAGGGGGGAAATCACCATACTGGCATTCAAGCTCAGGGAAGAATTGAATCAGTTGATTAGATACACTTGCCTCTATGTGATATTCGTAATAGATCAAAGCAATCTACCATATATTTATCAATACCTTTTATTGTTTTATGTTTCACACAAATTTATAAAAAATTATTTTATGAACTGTATTATCATATAGATGTTCTATGATAGCTATCTCTTCACTGGATCCTATCTTAAAATTTTTAAAAGGCAAATAAGGCAAATAGTAATATGTTGGGACACCTGAGTGGCTTAGTCGGTTAAGTGGCTGACTTGATTTCAGCTCAGGTCGTGATCTCAGGGTCTTTGGATTGAGTCCTACATTGGGCTCCCTGTTCAGTGGGAGTCTGCTTGAGGATTCTCTCTCCCTCTCTTCTGTCCCTCCCCTCCCCTACTCTCTCTCTCTAAAATAAATAAATCAATCTTTTTTAAAAATGGTAACGTATCAAAGTCAAACAATTCTGTATAACTGAGTGGGAACATAACCACCACGTAAAGAAAAAAGAAACACGCTACCTTGGTCACAAATTTGTTCTACCTGTAAAGATTCAGTTTATTCATTGAAAAAACAATGATGATGACATAACAAATGATATGATATAGCATACAATAATTTAAAACATGACATTTTATCATTTAATCAATTGAGACTCTCAGTATTGTGTAGGTTTATAAAATAGACGTATATGTTATAAACAGACTCAGAATGCATCAGAGTGGTGAAGAGTCTTACGCAAGCTCACTCAGTTATCAAGTGGTTAACAAAATCCACTCTTACTATTTTAAGCCTAGGACTTCTTCCCCAGTGTCAATATTCTACCTCCTGCTGCCCTAACATGAGAGAATCTGATCATGGTTCTATCCACCAAGAAAAGACTCTTAAATCATTCCCACTTTCCAGGACTGATTTTAGAAACATTCCAAAAAAATATCAAGTTCATCCAGCCTGTCTTCTTTGTGTTGTTTCCTCTTCACCCAGCTCCCTTTTTTGAGATAGAGAAAATGAGGCTTAGAAATCCCACAGCTTGCATATATATGAATTGGGCATCAAATCCATGCCTATCTTGCTTTAAACCATGCTGAATAAAATGTACCAGAGAGTTGGATTTTGAATAAAGCTAATTTAAAACTCCAACTCCACTATCAATTGTGTGTGACTGAACCACTAGAAGCCTCAGTACCACTTGTTGTAGGTACTAAATGAGATGACGTATAAATAGAGTACCTATGGGAAAAAAAGAATAGCTAGTGTTATAATTATAATACATCAAACTGCTTTAAAGGAATGTATCATGGACCATAGGATTTCAGGCACCATATTTGAGATGAAGCTGAGGGATCCTCTCAAAATAGCAGTATGCACATTGCATATAAATATATCTTCTATAAAGAGCAATGAGGGACAGAACCAGAAACAGGTTTCCAGATTCATTAATCTACCACCGTGAGCAACCATGAGCCTCCTGTTCTGGAGCCCAGATTTCTTCCCGCTTAGCATCCCAGTGATTCTCTCTATTGTGAAATCCCTGCTCTGGAAAATGTGGTAAGACTACCAGATTTGGAAGGAGAGTTGGGGAGCAGTAAACATGATAGTGCTTTATGCTCGACCAGACCAGTCCCTGTAGTCAAGCTTTATGCTTAAAGATGAAAGTTTCCCTCTGAATAGGTCACCAGAATGGCTACTGGTGCTAACAATCAAAAGATAGTCTCATAATACGAGATAAACAATGACAGAAACCACTATCCGAATACAAGAGGACTCAGAGGGAAGGGTGAGCTTCCTCCCACATTCCAGAGTCCTAAGCATATTCCCCAAAGTAAGAATTAACAACAGGGAAGAAGTTCCTCATGATCACTTGTTCTTCCCACATCCTTAATAGCTAAAGGCAACTGATGTGGATTCATAATGCC